ATAGTACTTTGATGTGTTTGCAGTATACGTATATATATATATATATATATATACGTGTTTGGAATGTAAAATGCTTTGGTTTTGCCTTGCACTTATTAAACTTAGAATGCTTTCCAGCAAAAAAATACAGATGAACATTGTGCCAATGAATACAGTATTTTCAAAGTCCTAGAATTTTTTCTATTTTATAGCTAAACTTGTAATTGTACATGTTAGAAAGTATCCTTAAATATAATGTCATTAAATATAGATTAGCATTTCTGATAATTCTTTTTGGCAAGTATAGCCACTGCAGTCTTTGACTGGTTTGTTCTATTTAGTTCTTTACTGATGTAATCACCAATTTCCACTATTTTACGTAAATCTACGCCAGTTTCCAATCCTTCGCCCTCCAAGAAGTACAGTAGATCCTCCGTTGCAACATTTCCTGAAGCACCAGCGGCATATGGGCATCCACCAAGTCCAGCAACTGAAGAATCAAAGACTCTTATATCATTTTCAAGACCCATGTATATGTTCATCAAGGCCTGGCCATAAGTATCATGACAGTGCAACGCATAATAACTCATGTCGTTTGATGAAACATGGAACAGTTCATTTAAGACACGTTTGATCTTCCTTGGAGACCCTACACCTATGGTGTCACCCAGAGAAATTTCATAACATCCAAGATCTAACATTATCGAAGCTAAATGTGCTGTGGTAGCCGGTTTGGTTTCACCTTCGTAGGGACAGCCAACAATGCAGGATATGTAACCCCGAGTTCTGATGCCATGCTTTCTTGCCTCCTCCACTACCACTTTGAAATTTCTTATACTTTCTTCGATGGAACAATTGATATTAGTTTTGGAAAAGGTTTCTGACGCTGCACCAAATACAGCGATTTCTTTCACACCTGTTGCAATAGCACTCTCTAAGCCTTTCAGATTTGGTACTAGTACTGGATAAGATACATCGCTTCGTTTTTCAATTTGTTGAAAGACCTGCTGATTGTCTGCCATCTGAGGAATCCATTTTGGAGATACGAAGCTGGTAACTTCGATGCTTTTCAATCCGGTAGCTGACAGTTTATTAATAAAATTGACTTTGACTTTGGTAGGCAGTATTTTTTTCTCATTTTGTAATCCATCTCGAGGTCCAACTTCGACTACTTTTACAAAATCGCTAAATTGTCTTATTGTATAATTCCAGACGCAATTGCGAATGTTTGATGGCAATATCACATGTCTCGAAAATAATTCTATCATCGTAAAATATGATGAAAAAATTGCGTGTTAGTTAATATGTTGCACTATTTACAAATTGTACACATGGGCTGCGTTCAGCGGACTCAACAGTTGAGTGAGCGCTTGTTGCTATTGATGTATTCTTTCAGATCTAAAATACTGATTGATCCAAAATGCTGTATGATAAAAGAATACACCAATAACAGCGAGTGTTCACTCAACTATTGAGTTCTTTGAACGTACCCATTTACTACCATGCGTATCACCAATCCAAATTCGAATTAAAATGTTTGTTTTTTTAGTGATTTCCCCAATTTTACCAATAGCAGAGAAAAACATGAGAGGGCTTTTTTTGTAAAAAAAATCTGTGAAAAAACATACACTTGAGGCCTTATTCTTGAAAAATATTTCATACGAAAAACTAGGGAAATACTATAGCATATGTAACGTATTATTTTTCTAAACTTTCGTTTCTTTTCAAGAATAGGGGTCCAGTGCATCAATTTTTTGCGACATTCACATTCCTATATTATTTCATATATTATATTATGGCTGTTTTCAAATTTACTGTTAGCACTGAAAATGCTACAGTTTACGTCTCTCATGTACACTATAAATTTTCAGTATAGGCAGTCAATTTTGAAATACCTTTTGAATGACCTTTATTACATTATACTTTATTATATTACATTATATTATATTATTGTTTATATTTATATGCATTTTTAACATCTATTTTATATGAAACTGTCAATAAAATAATATCGAAAATGGCTGTATTCGTGATAACAACAGCCAATACTAAAAATAAATTAAAAATGAGCAAAATCCACTAGGTATACTGATCAATAAAATTATAATTAATTCTATAGTAATAAAATATTCTATAGTGAATTTGATCACTTTTCATCTCATTTTAAAATACACAATCAACTTGGCAGCTAGCCTCATTCGTATCAATATTATTAATATCAATATTTTACAATTATTCAAAGATAATTCGACGATCCCACAAATTACGTGCGATCTTTGATAAATATTAGGGGATTCACATTTTTTACTCACATATTTTTTAGCTTGTAAAAAAATAATTATCTTATTCTTCCATCATTTATCTATACTTATCATAGTAAAGATAACACATTTGATAGCTTTATTAAATTGATATATTTATTGCATTATTAATGCATTTGAAGTTTAACGAGAAAGAACTTTAACATATTGCGACGCGCCAACAAACAACAATTTTATAGTTTCAAGAATATTATAATATATTATTTACTGGATAATATGAAATATAATTGTGCAGATTAATAGTTTATTAGTATTAGTAATCTAGTGAAACATCGTTGTAAAATTGTATGTGCTGTTAAAATAATCTTCATTTTTCTTTCTCCATTAAGTGTTAATTTATATAAAAATATCTGTGTCTGCAGTTCAATTTCTTTGCAAAAAATTTATTATCGAAATATCTAAATTTTAAATTAAATATTCGAATTATATTATATTCGATTATAAAAAAAAAAATGGGTAATTATACACATAAGACATAATATTTGATTGTGTAATATTTTTTTTGTGTAATAAAACTTATTGTGTAATAAAACTAAATAACATCTTTAGGTGGTTCTTCTAGTCAACAGGCAGAACTTGTAAACAGTGAACAAGCAGAATTATCTAATGGAAACGAATCTACAATCACAACTGTGACAGCACCACCTACTATCTTTGCTACAAAAGATGAGTTTGTTAGAATCTGGTTTTCATGGAAAAATGATTTCTTTGCTTATTTAAAGAATATTGACAAAGTTGAAGACAAAAAACAAATGTGGGGTTTCATGCTTTTAAATCGTATGGGTCCCATTGGTCAAGAGATTCATAGAACATTTCATTTCTATGAAGAAGATAAAAACGCGATGGATATAGACATATTAATTAAGAAATTTGATCTCTATTGCTTATATGGAGATAAAAAAAGAGGCAATGAAGATATCGACGAATACATACATGAATTGAAGGTATATTAATAAAAGTACTTATATAAAAGTACTTATATAATAACACTCACATGCAAAAAAACGGGCCACTAAATTTTTGCACAAATTTTTAATATTTTCAAATAGCAATAACTCAGTAAAAAATCATCGTAACGAGATGTTTAAAAAAACCTTGTAAAGCTTGAAATCTCTATTTCTCATATCGGTACTTTAAAAAAATGGTCGTACTGATATTATGTAAAGTTACATAAACATAACCGAAGGTGCATAAATTCTCAAAATTTTTACGAAATTTGCGAAGTTCCATGGCGTCAATTAAAAATTGGCGCACACAAATGGGTTTACAGCTTTCAAAAAAGTGAATCTTTACCTTTTTGTTTTTTTATAGATCTCTGTACAATTTTTTTGTCGAGTTATTTAACGTTAAAATTAATTAAAGTTATTTAAAAATGACTTTTTTGCTTCAATGTTGAATAATTCAATGATAAAAAATCATATAGAGATCTATAAAAAGAAGTAAATTAAAGATAAAGATTTGTTCTTTCGACTGTAATGACCTCTATTTATGCGCAATTTTTAATTGGCGCCGTGGAACTTCGCAAATTTTATAAAAAATTTTGAGATTTTTATGTATATGTAATTTCATAAAATATCAGTAAAACTGTTTTCTAAAATACTGATCTGAATAATAGAGATTTCAAACTTTAAAAGGCTTTATAAAACATCTCGCTACGATGATTTTTCACTAAGTTATTTGAAAATATTAAAAATTTATGCAAAAATGATTTGTTTTTGTGTGTGTGTGTGTGTGTGTGCGTGTGTGTGTGTGCGTGCGTGTGTGTGTGTGTGTGTGTGTGTGTGTGTGTGAATGTATAATAATATATACTCTTACTCTCTAAAACTTTTAGAGTGAATCTTACTCTAAAGAGTAAAAATCTCATTCTTAAATATTGACAATCAAACTTCTTTTTAAGGCTAGTTCAATTTTCACTCTTTAAAGTGATATATTCCACTCCAAAGAATATAGAAAGTATTATATAAAATCTTGTAGTTATTTGTTTTTGTAGTTTTTATTTATTTTTGTAGTTCTTCGCTATAGCGCAGGATTATATTGATCCTACGAGGATTGTAAAAGAGAAAATTATACAAGACATGAGTATCCAGCGGTTCACAGGAAAAGCTGCGCTTCTCATAGAAAGTAAAGGAGAAAACTTGATACCATATTTACAATCACTAGATTTGTACCATATCGCTCTGTTCTGGAAACAATGTGAACATTTAATGACACAAAAAATTGATGAAACACCGAAGCAGAATTCTACCTCTGCTAAATCTGCTACAACAGAGTCTACACCAATAGAACAGAATCAAAAGCAATCTACTATTTGGGGACATCGATGTCAATTATTTCTTTCTAAATTATGTTGTGTCCATTGCAATAAATGTAAACAGTTCAATCATTACACGAATAATTATAAAGATAAATACATATATGACTGTACTAAATGCGGAATGAGTCATATTCAATTACATTGTCCAGCATATGGCGAACTGTGTATGAAATGCGGCGAGAGGAATCATTTTTCGATGATGTGTCGGGTTCCTTTTAAAATAAATTGCTCTAAATGTGGTATGAATCATGCAATATCAAAATGTCCAGCACAGGGTCGAATATGTCATCATTGTAATAAATTGAATCATTTGGAAGAAAAATGTCCAGATCAGCCAAGTGTGTTTGAACAGATACAAAGTGCCTATTGATAAATTTTATCAACAAGAAAGTTATAAATTTGATACAAAATTTGTTATATCTATTATATATATTATAATTGCTGGCGACAGAATGTCACAAAAAATATAACAGGTTTGTTTACATGGTTTGACAGCAGATTAATGGCAGAAATGGGAATGTATGATTTTCCAAATTGTGCATCACAATTTTATATCTACATTTTGATAAGATTCCTGAGTTACTGCAGCGGCCATACTGAATTGTGACATCATAAGCGAGTTAAATGACACGTTAAGTTTACATGCTATTTCTAAATAAAAACTATTTGGATAAAACGAAATGAGATCGCTTTAAAATACCTATAAAAATACACAGACGAGATACTATTAAAGGATCGGCGCTTATGAATGCGTGTTTATTAAAATTTAAGTAATTAAAATCCGACCATTACTTTGATTTTAAGCGAGGCTCTTTTTGTCTCTTTCTGGCTTTAAAAGAGACAGATAGAGTTTTAAGTCGCTTAAAGTCAAAGTGACATTGGTGCAATACCTACGAGTAAGAAACTAATAATGCGGTACTAATTTCATAATTTATTAGTTTCGGAGACATGTATGTATATATATATATATATATTAGATGTACAATTTTGCTTCCGCCGTTTTTTTTCCGAAATTCGAGGCTTTATTATAAAAAACTGGTTATACATTTATGATTCAAAGTATTGTCCATCGCTGGCCACTACTTTCTCCCATCTTTCGGGTAGCGTACGAATCCCGCGTCGAAAAAACTGGTCATCTTTTGAGGCTATCCACGAATCGATCCAATTTTTTACTTCTTCATAAGACCGGAAGTGGTCAGCCAGGCCGTGTGCCATTGATCGAAACAAGTGATAGTCAGAGGGAGTAACGTCTGGAGAATACGGCGGGTGGGATAGGACTTTCCATTTCAACGTTTCTAAGTATGTGTTGATCACTTTCACAACACGGGGTCGAGCATGCTGCAAAATCACTTTCGTGTCTCTCGTTGTATTGCGGCCGTTTGTCTTTCAATGCTCGGCTCAAACGCATCAATTGCGTTCGATACCGATCGCCTGTGATTGTTTCAGTCGGTTTTAACAGTTCATAATACACTACGCCGAGCTGGCCCAACCAAATACAGAGCATGATCTTGGACGTCAAAACCGTTCTTGAAGCGTTGAAACGCTCACGACACGTTCTTTCACTAATAGCGGCCTCACCATAAGTATTTGAGGGCATTCGATGAGCCTCAGCCGCAGATTTCTTCATATTGAAGCAAAAAATTAAAACCTCCCGCAAATGACGAGAATTTGGCTCGTAAA